TGAGCTTAGAGGTGCCTCAGAAGAAAGATCTGGCAATTTACTTCTGAATGATCAGCCACTGGAAACCCTATGGAGTATTCACAATGTAGTCCAACCACTCGTTATGTAGTTCTGAAACTAGTTCTATCTAGTTCATCACTCCATAAAAAAACCCTATACCCATTAACATCACTTCCTTTTCCCTCTCCCCTACCTCCAGTGCCTGGCAACCACCAATCCACTTGCTGAATGGACTTACCTATTCTGAACAGTTCATATAAATGGAACCACACAATTAAAAAACAAAACACGTGGAGCCCAATTCTATTCTGATACACTTGGGGTTGCAATGAGTCAGTCAAGTCCGTGGCAATCGGCTTGATTTTATTTATTTATTGGTTTCCCGTGCTTGAGTGAGCCAGCATGGTTTGCTGAGATCACTAGAACTGAAAGCCACCACCGAGGGGGAGATACTCCACATGCAAGGACCCCAATTTGGGAAGGGGTGGTGAAGGCCGACTTGGGGCTGGCTGATGGCGCTGTCCCCCTGACCTCCTGGGGGCTGCTACTGTGGGTCTGCCTATGGACAGCCTTCGTGAACTGGAGGCCTCCACCTGCCTGCACCATCACACCTGGTGTTTGTCACACGTTCCAGCCGCCGTGCAGTCAGCCCACCCCTGACGACAAAGCCACTTACTAGCCCCATTTCATAGATGAGCAAACTGAGATCAGGAAGATTAATCAATGCACCAAGAGTGACTAGCTAACAAGGGGAAGGATGTAATCTGGCCTTAGAGCCCCCATACCCAGGACAACTCCCTAGAGGCCACTTCAGCCACACAGTGGAGTGAAGTACTGGCCCCATTGACTGTGGAGTTTTCTTCCTATGGTGGCCACTTCAGCCACACAGTGGAGTGAAGTACTGGCCCCATTGACTGTGGAGTTTTCTTCCTATGGTGGCCACTAGGACTCACTGCCTACCAAGGCCCATCCCAGGGCCAGCTGCTTCCAATTGTGCCCCCTTCTCTTTAACAGCTAATCACAGCTTCCTTAGTGGGGTCCAAGGTGGTGAGGGGGTCCAGGGCCCAACGGCCACCCCCACGTGCTTGTGAAGTCCCTGCACTGCTGGCTGCTCTGATTCCATACCCCAGCTTCACCAGCAAGGTCCCCGACACTCAGAAACATGCAGAGACCTGTCTGAGGCCCACACCTGGGACGTGGACCTCGGTTATCCGACCCCTCAATCGGGTACCCCCACCCTCTGCCCTGTCCCACACTGCTCACCGCACCCTGGCAGTGGCTCATCTCTGACTGTGCTGGGGATGGTGCTCAGAAACCCTCGGGGCACATTTGGTCAGACTTGCCCGTTTGCCAGGGCAGATGACAAGGGGCTTGGTCTCCACAGAAGGCTGGGTGCTGCTTCACCCCTAAGGACTGTGCCTGCTTGAGCTGCTATCCCTTGGCTGGACAGCTCCTGATACGTCATAGGTGGTCCCGACTGGGGGTTGGAGTGGTCCCAGGCAGTGGGACAGGGCCAGAGCTAAGCCATGGGGTAAGGGGGGGGGCACAGCTGCTAGAAGAGAGAAAGGAGGAGGCTCCACCCAGGAGGCGAGCCTCTGTGGGTGGGGACCTGTGTGGCCCCAGTCCTCACCATGCTGTAGAGCCAATGAGAAACAGATCCCACAGCTGATTTTGGCAGGAAGGGGCAGACCTGGCCTGGGCAGCACCTCTTGTCTGAGGTCCCCAGCATGGAGGTGGTGCAGGGACCCAGAACCGCCCCGAGTGAGCTTTGCTTCCATGACGTGTGAACTGGGAGTGGGCTGGGGAGCAATGGGGGTGTGGGAGGTAGCACTAGGGTCCCACAGTCATCCCCAGGACACACTAGCCACCCCTCCCCCGCTGCCACAAGCCCCCAGCAGCACAGCTTCCTCCCCAGGGATCATCCCCAAAGTGTTTCACCCTTCCAGTTTCTGGGCTGAACTTTAAAACGCCCTCCAGTTCAATCCAGCCAAGGCTCCAGGGCCCCTGGAGGCCCAGGGTGGACAGGACCCCAGCAGACACAAGGCCACTCTGAGGGGCAGTGGACCCAGGGGTTTCCTGAGCCTTCACCCCCACTCCAGGGCTGACGGTCAGCAGGAGGCAGGCAACTGGAGGCATAGCTCTCCTCCCACTAGTCGGCCATTGTTCCAGGGAATTCCCAACTCCGGGAGGTGAGCTCTGTGCACAGGTATTTCATAATGACTTTTACTACAAGGTGTGTCACTACCTGACAGGTCGGCTGCCTTGTTCCCAGAGGTGCGAGGCCCCACCCTCGTTACCACATGGCAAGCCAGAAGCAAGCCCCAGCAGGTGAGGGCTCGAATCACCCCAGCCCAGGCATGCCACCCCCCAGCCCAGGACCCCACACGAGACTAGAACTGCTCCTGCCTCCCAGAGCCAGGGCTCCCTCCAGACATTGGGTCTGGAGGTCTCTCGGGGTAGGAGAGGCAGCCTCCAGAACCTGGGGACAGACAGACATCATACTAGTCTGCACCCAGAGTTACCCCCCAGAGCCTGGTGGCCAACTCTGGTCCCTCCACAGTGGGAACAGTAGGGAGCCATAGTGGGTAAGACATTTGGCTGCCAATCAGAAGGTCAAGGTTCAAACCCATCAGCTGCTCTGTGGGATGAAGATGAAACAATCTACTTCCATAAAGATTTGCAGTCTTAGAAACCCAAGGGGTTGCTATGAGTCAAAATTGACTCAACAGCAGTGGGTTGGGTTTGGATTTTTTGGGAGGGAATTCTGGAAGGTGAGGAGTCAGAACCCTTGTCCCCTGAGGAGCAGAAGGCAGCAAAAGGAATGTTCTGGAAGGGACACAGCTTCTACCTTCTCTTCCTGGAACTACGCAGACCCGAGCCATCCCAGGCCCAGCATCTGTCTCTGATTCCTTGCCTGAGGAATGGGAACATAGCCATGTTAGAGGCATGCAAACTCTTTCTGCTGGGCCTCCTTTCCGGCTGGAGTTGGGGCAGCAAGGAGTCAGGGCAGCTCCCTGGTGAGGGCAGAGCATGCTGACCCGGGGGCTACCCAGTATGGGCAAGGGAGACCCCGGGTCTGAGTAGGGTGGATGCCTGGAAGGATGGGCTGGGGCCAGGCCACACTTCCTCAGGGCCAGGAAGACAAGCCCACTGGGTCACTCCTCCCTTTTATTTTGTTGATGGACTTTCTTGAGCACAAAGCTAGAAAATAGCAAATAGATGGCAGAATCCCATCTTCCTTGCTAGCAGCACAATTCACATAGAGAGCACAGATGGCTGGCCAGCTCTGGCAGGATCTGAGCTAGGACGTGCCTCAGGGGAATGGACAAGATGACAGGGGTCCCACCACCAGACCCCCACCCCACCCGGCTGCCAGTGCCCCAGGAGGCATCTCCTCTAACCACTGCTGCCCCAGCCCAGCATCCATGACAGGGACCCTCCCTCTCACCTCCTCGCCACTTCACCCTGTGACTGGAACCCCCATGTCCCCCACTAGCCACCAGATGCCCAAGGTGGCTGAGTCTCCTGCCTGAACACCTCGGACAGGGGTGTGCTGAGGTGTGTGAGGGGCTCTAAGCTCTGGACTGGGGAGCTTTGGGGAGGAGGGCCCAGGCAGGAAGAGGAGGGGCCAGGACCCGGCAACCCCTTGGCCTCCAGAGTGTCCTTAGCCCCGCCTCCCTCCTGTGCACCTGGCCCGTGCCTGGTGCTGGTGTGAACACACGGCACAGCCCTGCCTGAAACATACTCAAGTGAGGAGGCCAGCCAGTCACCCTGCCCTCTGTTCCCATAGGCCTCTGCTCAGTGTAGGGTTTGTTTTCTCTCATGGGCTCAGCCAAGTCCCCTTGACAAGTCTCCACCTGAGGGATCCTGAGCCCTCAAAACAAGTCTTGTTGGCAGAACGAAGCAGCTGAGTGGTCCAGTGGGGGCTGCAGCAGGAGCCAGGGCCAGGACTGGGCTGGCCTAGGGAGGTGACCACGGACAAGGGTGTGCTGCCCATGTCCTGTCACCTCCTGGCACACCCCAAGGCCTGACAACAGGGACCAGAGGAGGGCAGAGATGCACCCTCCCCACTTCCCACAGCTCTGAATCCTTGCCCAGAGGAAAATCCAGCTCAGCAGGAGCTGGGACAGTTCAGGGCTGGTGCCTTCCCCCAGTCCTTCAGGAGTTGGGGGAGCCCATCAGGACAGGATGTTGGGGCCTCAATTGTTCTGGCTGGCCCTCCCAGCACCCCTTCCTCTAGAAGCAGCATCTCCATGTTTGTTCAAGGCCTCTTCTCCATCTCTCAGTCCCAGGGATTGGGGGACCAGCTCCGCTCCAACATACTCTATTCTAGGGGGCAGTGGGTCACATGATCCAGGACAATCACAGAGATCACTTAGAGATGGATGCATGTCTGCGTTCAGCCCAATAAGAGGCAGGCCTACTGGACTATGGGAAAAAGGGGGTCCTCTCTCCATGGAGATGTGGGAGCAGAGGAGTCTGTTGCCCTTCACTATGAGGGGAGAGGCTGTCTAAGATCAAAGGCAGCATGGGGAAAAACAGAACAAGATGGAGAGAGGCAGCTGTCTGAGCACCCAGATCCAGCCATGTCTAAAGCCATCCCTACCCTCAGATCCAGCCATGCCAGAAGCCATTTTTACCTCCAGATCCAGGCATGCCAGAAGCCATCCATACTCACAAGTCCAGCCATGCCTAAAGTCATTCCTGCCCCTGGATTCATTCATGCCAGAAGTCCTTCCCATCCCTGGATCCACTGACACCTGAAGTCCTTCCTACCCCTGGATCCAACCATGCCTGAAGCCACTCCTACCTCCGGACTGACAGTCACATGGGCCAATACATTTTCTATTTTGCAATTTGAAAAGTACCAACAGATTCATGGGAGCAGCTGCACAACTGAAAGCCTGTTATCTGGCCCTGCCAGGCTCCCACACCAGGAAAATCCATGTGAACATGTGAACAGTCCCACCCGAGTCTTCACAGAGGGCAACCCCACTCACCATGACAGACATGGTCATGCCCTGTAGGTGGAAGACATCCATGCTGGCCTCTGCACCACTCACCACCTCGTTGTTCTCCCGGCTCGACTGCGGAAGGTCAAAGTAGGTGCTATCTGGCTCCCTGGGCCGGGAACAGGGGACAGAAACAGTCAACCCCAGATGGGATGTGACCCCTGCCTCTCAGCCCAGGGCAAGGCCAGCCCATGGCTCCTTTGAGGGCTCACATCTCCCATCCCCAAGAGCCTTTCAGATCTTGCCTCTTTTCTTTCCTGCTGACCCTTGGCTCCCCGCTTCTTCTACCTCTCCCTCTGTCCATCTCACACGAGCCCTGACCCCAGATCTCTCCCGCCCTGAGCCAGAGGGAGCCAGATTCCTGACCTTGTATTCCCAGGAGAAGGTCCAAGGCAGCAGCCCCCTTTGCCTACATCTCAAGTCAGTCTGAGGAGGGCAGCTGAAACTAGCTCAGCCCAGAGCCGCCCTTTCTGATTTGGCCTAGGCAGCCTGGCAGGGGTCGCTAAGGCTAGCCCAGAATCCAGACCAGGGCTGCTCCAACTGCTCTGGCCCAGTCAGCCCAGCAAGGTGGCCAAGGGGAAGGTGGTCAAGACTAGCCCAGCCTGAGGCAGGCAGGGTGCTGTTTGCTCTGGCCTTGGCAGCCCAGCAGGGGTAGCCAAAGCTAGCCTGTAGTTTAACTCAGGACCCTCTATGTACTCTGCCCAGTTAGCCTGGCAGGAGTTACCAAGACCAACCTAGAGCCCAGCCCAGGCCCCCCATCTGCTCTGGCCCAAGCAGAGGAAATACTCACAGGGAGCTCCAGAGGTTCTCGAAGGTAGTGCCGTCAGGCGAGGTGGACTGGGACATCTTTCCCCACACCACAGCCCCCGTGGGCAGCTGCCTCTGTGAGAGGATAGACAAAGCACGTCGGCAAAGACACTTTAGCCTTCAGGAAGCATGTCCTGCTGCTCCCCTGCTGCACCCTCATGGCAGCGGAGGGGGCAGGGGTGATGATGAGGACACAGGGGGACAACCATGCCCATATGAGGATAGCCCTCAAACACTGACCACGGCCCTGGGTGTGCTTAACCCCTCAAGCACCGGCTCTCACTTTGTCCTGCTAGTTCCCCGGGGGGAAACCAAGGCAGGCCTGGGGGGTGAGGGGTTGGCCTGGGGGGCAAGCAGACCAGGCAGGACTCTCCCAGTGCTGCCACTGATAAGGGGAACACTAGCCCCCTGAGAGAGCAGATTTGCAATCTCCCCAGTGTCTAGGAGGTGACACATACCAGGAGGTGTTGGCTGCATCACTAGCTTTACCTGTGAGGGCTTGTGCCAGGTTTGGGGGCATCCTGAGGCCCCAGGCCTAGGAATAGTTCAGACCCTCAGGTATCCCCTCAGGAAGGGTGTGGGGCTCTTCCCCTTTCATAGGAGATGCCCATGAGGCAGTAGGATTGGGGATGCCCTTATGCTGATGCCCAGACCTGTGGGTCACCCCTCCACCATTCACCACTTCTTTTGAAACCCTCATGCTCAGCTCCCACCTTCAAAGCAGCCCCAGCCACCTAGAAGGAGGTATAGCCAGGACCCCTTGTCCTGCAATGTGAGGGGGACCAGAGCCTGCCTTGACTGTCTCTCCCCAACCCTGGGCTGAGATGGGATTCTCCTCAGGGCTGGCTTGTGGGTCCTCCTTGAGGGAGTGTGGGAATCACGTGAACAGCACCTGTCAGTGCCTAATCGTATGGGCCTAGATGTGGCCATGGCCGGCAGTGGGTGGGGATAGGTGGTGATCAACAGTCTGTCACTTTTGTCTGCCCTTGGAGGCATGCAACAGTGCCAGTACAGAGCAAGCACACAAGCCAAGAGGGAGGTCCCTCTAAGTGGCCTGAGGGCGAAGGCAGGGTCAGCACGAGATGACCGGGAAGGGACATCACGCTCATCACAGCAGACTCTGCTTGAGACTCAGAGTAGCTTGCATGTGATTGCACAGTGAACCTTCCAGAGCAGTCAAGGAAGGCGGCCAAGGACACACGGCCGTGAGTGTAGGCTGGACCAGCCCATTCTTTCCAGAGGTGAACATGAGCGTGCTCGTCTATTAGGCTGTCCTCTACTCACCACATGACCCAGATCCTCAGCTGGTGGCACTGACCTGCGCTCTGACCTAAGAGTAGCCCACCACCCAGGGGCCTGGGGCATGCAGGGCATGGAGTTGGCCATGCTGGGAGACAGAATGAGATGGGTACTACAGGAGGCTGAAGTGCCAGCTGCTGGCCATGGAGATAGCTTGGACACTGAGGCCCTGTGGGGCAGAAACCCACCTGTGTCCATCCCCTAGGGCTGGGGCCTCTTTGGGGTGAGCAGCAAGGAGTCAGGGCAGCTCCCTGGTGAGGGCAGAGCATGCTGACTCGGGGATTGCCTGGCATGGGCAAGGGGGACCCCAGATCTGAGTAGGGTGGGCACCTGGGAGGATGGGCTGGGGCCAGGCCACACTTCCTCAGGGCCAGGAAGACAAGCCTACTGGGTTACTCCTCCCCTTCTATTTTGTTGATGGACTTTCTTGAGCACAGAGCCAGAAAACAGCAAATAAATGGCAGAATCCCATCTTCCTTCCTAGCAGCACAATTCACAAAAGCCAAAGGAGGACAACCAAAGTGTCCATCACTGTATGAACAGACAAACGAAACGGTCCATCTATACAGTGGAATATTACCAGCCATAAAAAGATGCGCTCAGGTATAGCAAGGATTGTGAGGCTGGTGCAGGACCGGGCAGTGTTTTGTTCTGTTGTACACAGATAGGGTTGCTATGAGTTGGAGCCCACTCCACGGCACCTAACAACAACACAGCATAAAAAGAAAGAAAGTTCTGACACATGCCACAATATGGATGAGCCTCGAAGACATGCTGAGTGAACTACGTCAGACACAAAAGAACAAATCCTGTCTGCTCCCACTTATAAGAAATATCTAGAATAAGTAAATGCATAGAGATGGAAGTAGATTGGTGATTACCTGGGACTGGAGAGTGGGGATAGGAAGTGACTGCTTAATGAGCACAGGGTTTCCTATGGGAAGATGGAATGTTCTGGAACTAGAGAGAGGTGGTGGTGGTGACACAACATTGTCAATGTACTAAATGCCACTGCATTCTACACTTTAAAATGGTTAATTTGATGCTATGTGAATTTCACCCCCAATAAAAAAGTTTTTTAAAATTGAGGAAAAAGAACCAGGGTCACACATGGGAACAGCTGGCACTGCAAAGCATGCTCTGAGTGGACTCACTTGGCCAGCTGCAAATCAGTCATCAACCAACCAATCAACCAGTCAATCCCATGTCCCAGCGCCCCAGCCAGGATTTCCTCACATGTTGGCTGACCAGCACTTGAGGGAAGCTTAATAGCATTTTCCCAGATCTTCCCCCAAGATAAGGAACCCCAGGAGTTCTTTCCCCCAGGCTCTAGCCCTCCAGCCCTGCACTGGAATGTCTGGGATGTGAGACCCCTGCATCGGGGTGGGGTCTGGCTGCCCTGCTCTCAAGGAGCCCCACCAGTCCCTGGACCTTCCATGATCCCCCCTCTACCTTGCTTGTCCCCAAGCTCAACCCCCTGCTGGAGACCCAAAGTCAGGCTGGCTTATAGGGCAAGACTCTCCTGGCCCTCAAGATAGACATGGGAGCAGGGTCCTACTACCCCCACCCCTTGAAGCAAGGTGGGATGGATGAAGCAGGATGGGATGGACTAAAGCGGCTCCTTACACAAACAAGGCTGCAGGGGCCAAGAGAATGGAAGCCAGCAGCCCAGAGTCCCCAGGAACATGGCAGAGGCACACAGGGTAGGGTGCTGCGGTAGGGCCTGCGAAGCAAGGGGCATGTCCAGGGTCACCAATCTCTAGGGGGTGATAAGCACTATTGTGTTCAGCAACAAAATCCTGCTGTCTCTGACCTAACATCTACCTGAACCTCAAACTCTTTCCCACCTCTACTGTCCCCACACTCAGGGTCCCTACCCCCTGGCACTTAGACCAGGCTCTCCCTGCAAGCCAGTGGGCTCTTACGCTACAGTAGACCCACATTCCTCACTGTGGCCCACAGCCCCGAGGCCTGGCCCCTGCCTCCAAGCCAGTTCTCCATCGCAGGTTCTGCACTGACATCCCCTCAGACCCCTTCTCAGCTTAGAGGCCACCACTGCCTTGGAGAGGCCATCCCTGAGTCCAAGCTGATGCCACCTTCCTCTGCCCTTGTTTGCTTCATGACAACTGTCCCTGCCCAACATGGTCTTCCTTCCTTATCTGTCTGTCTGTGAACTGCCCATCCTCCAAATTCTAAGGTCAGAGTGAGAAGAGAAAGAGAGAGAGGAAAAAAATAGAGACAGAGGGAGAGAATGAGAAAGACACAAAGAGAGAGACAGAAAGAGAAAGTAGACAGGGAATAAGAGAAACAGAAAGCGGGAGAAGGATGGAGAGTGAAGTGGGGAGTGCTAGTCTGGTGGGTCTGTGCGTGCATGTGTGCGCGCACACACACACACACCCCACTGCCTCCCTCCCCCTCCTGGCCACTGGGCCCTGCTCTGAGAAGGGGCTGGGGCTCAGGTGTTCAGTGAAGGGATTGTGGATAGGCCTCCCTCAACACAGAACTCTGTGCATAGATGACATGGATCATATGCTTGAACTTGGAGATGAGTTGGTAACTCATATTTGCATTCTGACACCACATCCTTTCTCCCACTGAACCAAGAACTGAGAAAGGTCCCTCCCTTGTCTGCATGCATGCCACCTGTCACTATACCACCTGCCCAGGAGGCACCCCACTCTATGCTCATGCCTTTCTGCGAGCCACAGAGCACCTGTTCTCCAGTCCTTGGTGGGAGCACAGGGACAGGGAGCCACAAGCTGGGGCAGGTCTGTGCAAAGGAGCAGCGGGGGCAGCCCAGGAGACAAAGACAGCTGAGTGCATAGGCCTCTGCTGCCACCACCAGGAGCGGCTGCCCATACCTCAGGAGCCAAGCCTGTCAGGCAGCCAGCTCCATCGACCCCGCAGCTCACCAGGAGCCTGGTCAGAACACTTCTTCTAGGACGTCACCTCAAAAGGTTCCCCTGAGGAGGTGTGGCCTGGGACCTTGTTGTTGTTAGATGCCATAGAGTCAGTTCCAACTCATAGTGACCCCATGTACAACAGAACAAAACCCTGCCCGGTCCCGCAACATCCTCACAATCCTTGCTATGCTTGAGCCATCATTGCAGCCACTGGCAATCCGTCTCGTTGACAGTCTTCCCTTTTTTCGTTGACCCTCCACTTTACCAAGCATGAAACCCTTCTCCAAGGACTAATCCCTTCTGACAATATGGCCGAAGTAGATGAGACTAAGTCTGGCCATTCTTGCTTCCAAGGAGCATTCCGGCTGCACTTCCTCCAGGATAGATTTGTTCATTCTTCTGGCAGTCCATGGAGTTTTCAGTATTCTTCACCAACACCACAATTCAAAGGCATCAATTCTCCTTCAGTCTTCCTTATTCATTGTCCAGCTTTCACATGTATATGAGGCGATTGAAAATACCATGGCTTAGGTTAGAGGCACCTTAGTCTTCAAAGTGACGTCTTTGTTCCTTTAACATTTTAAAGAGGTCTTTTGCAGCAGATTTGCCCAGTGCAATATGACATCTGATTTCTTGACTGCTGCTTCCATGGGTGTTGATTGTGGACCCAAGTAAAAGGAAATCCCTGACAATGTCTACCTTTTCTCCATTTGTTGTGATATTGCTTATTGTTCTAGTTGTGAGGATTTCTATTTCTCATATTGAGGTGTAATCCATTTTGAAGACTACATGGGGCCTAGGAATCTACATTCTAGCAAGTCTCCTGGACAGGTCCCA